CCCCCCCTCCTCTGGGGAACCTCCTGCACCCCCGCAGCCCCCCCCTCCCCCCGCCCTCGCACCGGCGCGGTGGAAGTCGTCCTTGCTGTAGGTGAAGTCTTTCAGGAAGGTGATGCTCTCCGTCTCATGGTTGTAGCGCCGGGCCGTCTCCAGCAGCATGATCTGGGGGAAGCGGGGGCAGGTGTGAGACCCCCCCGGCGTGGCAGAGCCCCCAACGCACCCGTCTCCCCCCCACACCACCACCACAGAGAGGGAGATGTGACCCCCCCAGGACCTGGAGGCTTTGAGCGTGATCTGCTCCCCCGTCCCCTACACAGGAGCGTAACCATCTTTGCACAGAGTTCATCTCGTGAGGCATCATTTGCACACGGTGCCGGTCGTTACTGACCCCGGACAGCGCCGTGACAAGTTCCCCCAGGCGGTTTTATTCACCCAGGTCTTCGGAAGCAGGTCCTTTAGTGCCGCAGAAGACCCGGAGCGAGTGAAGGACCCGCCGCCGAAGTGCTGCTAAAGACCCGGACCGCCGCCGGGTATTCGAATCGGGCCCCACACTTCCTAAAGCCGGCCCTGACCCTGGCCTGAGAAGCGCGATCCGTCAGACCAGGGAGAGCACGGGGTGAGCATCTCTGCCTGCATCTGGTCCGGTTTGCTCAGCCAGGCACCAGCAGCCGTCTTCTCTCGGTTTTCCTTGTAACCGTTCCTGACCTTTATGCCTCTAAACAGCGGGGTTCCCTTAACGCTCTAGCCCGGAGCCCCGTTTACACTCCGAGGTCAGACCAGCCCCGCCAGGCCCACTCCCGCCACCTTCAGCCTTCCAGCTCAACCCACGGGCCCCCTGATCGGTCACACGGGGGCCACCCCCGCCAATTCTAAGCCCCAGCCTCGTCCCCCCAGAAATGTGCGTCTTGTACGGCCCGGCGCCCTGCTGAGCTCAAAAGTCCACCAAAGGAAATAAATGGATGGATGCCTACGGCCCTTTGTTTTCAGGTTAGATTTGATTGCATTTTCCCCGGGAATGTATCGGTGTTTCTTTCCACAACCACCAAAGCAGGTGAAAATCAGGGCAAAAAAAACCCGATTAATTTTTCCAGCTAAATGTTGGGGTCTATTGCGGTGGACGGAAAGACGTGGGGGAAAAAGTATCCGGTCGATAAATGCTTTGAATTCCGTTCACCCACGTGCTTTGCCACAGAACTAAAACCGAACTCTAGACCCAATCCCAGCTGGGAGTTTTTTGGTAATTTTTGAATACTTCCTTGTGTTCTGAACCGGATTCTGCGACCGATTTCCGTCTTCTTCCCATTTTAGTGTGTCAGCTCTTTACACCGGTCTCTGGTAACAGCTTGAAACGTGGGTGTGCGATGCAGCGTTGCGTTCAGAGGCGCAGGCACGTCAGAGCTTGCGTGCAGGTGTGTTTATTGCGTGTATCTTCTAGACTAGTCAGAGAATATCAGGGCCAGAAGGGACCTCAGGAGGTATCTAGTCCAACCCCCTGCTCAAAGCAGGACCAACCCCAACTAAATCATCCCAGCCAGGGCTTTGTCAAGCTGGACCTTAAAAACCTCTAAGGAAGGAGATTCCACCTCCCTAGGGAACCCATTCCAGTGCTTCACCACCTTCCTAGTGAAATAGTGTTTCCTAATATCCAACCTGGACCTCCCCCACTGCAACTTGAGACCATTGCTCCTTGTTCTGTCATCTGCCACCCATGAGAA